GTTATGAGCTACAGAATCACTTGTATCTCGTCGCAATGACCCAATTTCCCAAACGCTGGGATATCGAATTCGAATCTCATTTGAAACCTGGATAGACGACTTGTTCTCAAAACCTTGCGATGGTCCGATATCTCCTCATAGGGGCCCAACTAAACACTTATGAGATTTATTCTTTTTGAATTAATTTGGAATTTCAGTAGCCCGCGTGATCTAAGAAGCGATATCTTAAAAAATAGATCTCCTGAATATATGAAATGAATTGAACTGACTTTTGACAGTGCTCGGTAGCGACATCTTTCAGCAGAACAGTGAATTTTTATCAGTCCCTGCAGAAAAAGGCGGATGTTACCTTAAACTGACCAATACAGCTTCCCTCCACATTGCTTCATATGTATTGTTCGACCTTCTTACATGGTTCGATACTATGTTACTGGAGGCCTACAGTTACTGTCATTACTAGCAATATTTCATATTTTGGATGTAGGTCCAAATAACTCCACGAGACACAGTCCATGTGAAACCAATATTCTCTTATCTAGTCTGACCCGTTTCCTCTTTTGTGTTACCCGTGTTTCGTAACCGTGTTAACAACAGTCCACCTCTGAAATTTCCTGAGCCGATGAATCGGCCTCTATCGTTACCCCTTACATAACTGTCGTGTTTATCGTGTCTGTGCCACGTGTCATCTTCCATTCAAAATTTTGTACTAAAATTTTTATATGCATTGCTAATCGCACCCTCCTTGATTTCATCCCCCCTAATAAATTATGTACGAATAAATTAATTCTTTGTAAAATATTCGGGCTCTGGAGTTAAACCCTCCTTTCTACTTTTATTATTCTTTGGTTTACATTCTTGGGGTCCGCGTCTAGTAGTCTCAACTATCGTTAGGCGTTTGTTCGTTTTCGCTGATAGCATTCACTTTATCATCTTAAAGTAACCTCTTTTCGTACTTTGCTAATTGGGATTACATATTTGTATTCCAGCCCCTTATACACGTACTTAATGAGGACTGAGATCTGTTATCAGAAAGATTTTCCAAGATTTGTGTTCTGCACCCCTGTTCCTGTCTACACTTCATATATTGTAAATTTTTGGTTCTTTACACATCTATTAAAACCTCCTCTGTGTTAACATAATGATAAGAGAAAGCGAAAAACATAATTTTTATGTTAATTTTGTACATAAACTTGTGAATTTTGCAAACATACCCAGCGTAATGGCTTGCTGACTGTTTTCAATTGGATTAGAGTTCCTGAAATAAAATTTTATGTTACGTAATTTGCTTGATAAGAAGGATCGTGGTTCTAAATTGTTCACTTCAAGGTTAATTGCACTGACGTGTAATTTCAATGTCAGTGCCAAATAAAGAGCGTGGGCTGTATAAGGGCGAGTTATAGTGGCGCGCTCTTGTGTATGCACGTTCCATAAGGAACACTTGGGATCCGTATAAGAAAGGAACTTCCATGACTAGTTGAGCTTTGCTGTGTGGAGTTAGTTATGATATATCATGGACCACGTAACACAGAATCTTGGACCCTACCATCATGGGGATCACGAGTTCGAGTAGCTCTCGAGGGATGAATATTTATAGCCATGTTTTCTTTGCTGTTTGCATTTTCTGTGCGAAGTCATCTAATTCAAACAATTGAAATGCGTTTGATAGCTTACAAGTCACGTAAAGTCGAAAATTTGGTCAAAAGGGAAAAATATAAGGAAACAAAAGCAAAGAAGGAAAAGTAGGAGTTGTCTTAATCCAATTACATAAAGTAAGAGCCCCCCCTCTTCCTTTATCTGCCCATTCTTCCTGTTTACAGGCGCATCTTGAAGGGGCGCTACTTGTTCCCCCCCACCCCCACCCACACCTCCTTCCGTTACTTCCACTGGATTATTGAACCCCGGAGATGTGATTAATTAAGACAGAAAAAAAGGGGGAAAGGAAAATAATAAAAGCGAATACATCTTACTCCATTTTCAGTCTAAGTTTATTTTCGAATATAGAGTTTCACATAGAAGTTTTTCAAGGGAAATTGGGATGAAAAACGGAATTGTGTGTATTCTGGTACTTCCGTTTCTTTTAGGGATAGCGGAAGGGCGCAAAGGAAAGAAGGAAATTAGAGGGTGTCAGCTCCTTGTTGTTCTTACACCCTATTGATTATAATTCCTTCTTCGTTCTTGTTCGTCAGAGACTGCTTGGAGACTAAGCATGTATAGGACCATGTCTGAGGACATCAGGTTTTAATATCGTGAACTGTCTTGCTGTTTTGAGAATGGTTCAACTGTTCGGGTTTTATGGGTGATGTCGTTGAATCATATTGTGACATGACGCCCGAAAGCCGGAATCGATTAGTCAGAATGGACGTTCATTGCTAGGCAACGATTCGGTGAACATATTCCCGCGGAAAAGAATACGCAAGCAACATCTGTAAACAAGCTTTCCCAGAAATAAAGAGACTGTGTTTTCTATATGGTCCGTGCTAAGTAGTTATAAAAAGAGTTCAGTTGAGAAGAGTCGAGTCTAGTTTCGAGACGCCAGCCTGCCGGGATATGAGCTTCTGAGCAGAGGAGAAATGAGTGTGCAGCTGCAGAATAATACCAAGAAATGAACTAGGCTGTGAAAATAAGACTTCATATGCGATTTTAAGTGACAGTGAGACTGTTATAAATTCGTTGCCAGGACACGACTAGTGAAGACTGAGAACCCTAGTGCGTGTGTAATAGTATACTATGAAGTGTAGATCAGCAATGGCGCTGTATTGTCTATAGTCCCGAATATTGTGTATAAGTGGTCAATAAATCCAATCAACCGATCCAGAATCCGTCTATTAACCCCCTACACTTGACAATATAAATCTTGGAATCTTTGGAATAATTGAGTATGTTTGTAATGTTCAAGGAATGAACATGTTTGTTAAGCAGTTATTTAGTTAGCATAGTCAGGTTATAGGCCAATAATTAGATTAGCAATTAAAGCCATGTAGCTAGCCAGTGACATGACTGAATTACCGAGTGAGTATTCAGAAGTCAGTCAATTAGATTTAGTATGTCAGTCAGCCTGTAAGGGAGACATTCTGGCGGTTAGTGCTTTTGTTTGTGAATTTTCGAAGGATCTAGTCATTTAGTCACGTAGATGGTAGATGAATTGCATTTCCACATTAGAAAGTCAGCTAATCGGCTAGTTAGCGATTAGTTAGTGATCACATTGATATGTGACTCATTCTTACTGCATCTATCGTCAGCTTCTTATAATCTCCTAAGTCATTTTCCCCGTGTCATTTTGAACATACGCACTGCAGCTTCTGGCCGTCTGTTGTAATTAATTATTGAAGTACATCGGGTTATGGTTTAGTGTCGAAATGTCAGCACTGCACAAACTATTCTTGATAATAGCCATTAATTCTTTTTCTGAAGGGCAGGCCAATAAAGAGTAGCAGTCACACTGGATGCAATAACATTATTGTATCCACTAGATGACTGGGACTTCTGAAAGGTCACACTTGCACAGACATTTGAAATACGTTAATAAAGCCATTGTTGCCTTGGTAATCAATATTGGAACCAAAGCACATAGTTCATAGCCTACAGTGAGAGAACGAATGTTCTGATCTGCTTATTTCTTACAGTGTTAAATGATTCTTGAATGCATATTAAGATACTATTCTGTAAAGTAAGATCCCATAAGACTTACCTTAACATTAGTCCAAATACACGCCATTCCAACAATTGCTCCGCTTTCCATGTACCTTCCAGTGCGTTATGTAAAACATGACGATAAGAAAAGTACGAAAGTGCTAATAAGATTTAAAATTTATGACGATGTTACATTAGTACAGGTATCATTTTTTTGGACATTATCCATCGTTTTGTCTTTATCTAAAATACATTTTGTTTATTTTTCAAAACATAATATTTCGAGACTGAATTCTGCCTCCGTCTATAGGTAAAACCCAATCAGTTGGGCCAAATCGATAGGGACTAGATTATCGATTGGGCCCAACTGAGTAGGTTTTACCTGAAGACGGAGACAGAATCCAATCTCCGAAACGTGTTTTAAAATATAATGAGTATGGTGTCTTAGATAAAAACAGGACGATGGATAATGTCCAAAGACGTAACATTTGCAGAAAAATTTTATTTTACATGTTGTCTAGAAATTGATAGCGTCTGACAAAAAAATGCTCTGGAGAATATCTGGATATGTCGAAGCAGGAAGCCTGGAGATAATTTCACAGTGAAGTACCGTCCATCAAACGTTACTGTAACTACCTATATAGAAACACGAAATTAACTGGACATTTAGCAGGGACTTGGGGAGGTGAGATTTGTATACGAAATATTACTCGACAAATCTCAAGCAAAGTAACTACTTCGGAGACTGGGCATGGAGAGGAGGACAGAATGAAGTCTGTGTATAAAATTTGATTTATTAAAGAGTATATAGGGTTCTGTGGGCCGCGCCATAGCTCAAGCGGTTAGTCGCTGGCTTCCCACCGCAGCGGCCCAGGTTCGATCCCGGGTCTGGTCAAGTGGGATTTACGGTGGACAAAGTGGCGCGGGAGCAGGTTTTCTCCGAGTACTTCGGTTTCCCTGCCAATCTTCATTCCACCAATTGCTCCACAATCACCCTCACCTATCATCTGGGGCTGGTACAATAGGCCAGAAGTGGCCGCAGTACAAGGAACTTAGTCCCACCCCACTAGCATTAAAAGAAATTTATATAGGTTCTGATGATAATGTATAACAAGCGGGAGTACTGGGTTTTTGGAGTTAGACTTTAGAATACAGGACGGTGGATGAAGTCATAAAACCCATTAATCCCCATTTGATTTATCAGTTAACGTATCTGTACACTTCATGACTACCTGAGCAAATTTTTGGCATAACTCGAAACCAGGGTTTCTTAAACGTGTTTATGAAATAAGGTGTATTAGATTACCAATTGTAATTGTTACAGTAAATCAGTGATTCTTCATTCACTTGTAATTATTTTTTATTTTCAGGTACGCACCTGTTATAGTTGGTAGAACTGACATGACTCAGGAGAACCGGGTTCGAGTGGCGACCGAATCATTATTCAGTTCTTCCAACAATCTAATGCGTAGTTGGCTAGGGGAAGGAACTATGTGAGTACCTATCTTTCTCTCTCTCTCACACACACTTGTATTTAAATGCAACTTCAAATTCATGATATTCGGTGCAAGAACTGAACTTTTCATATAGCTGAATAACTGATGAATGCTTAGGCAAGGTCTATACCAGTCAGCCATTGCCCAGCTGCTGAATCCTAATCATGAACTGTGTAAACCAAGGGTGTCCAAAGCCGGGACTTGGGGCAAAATGCGTCTCAGTAGCTTTATCATTCTGAAATAAATTTGAGGTTTTTCCACCATTAATGATGATATTTTAGTCTTCTGTGACACCGTATAGTCTTGTACGCAGATACTGGCATTTCGGAGAAATATTCTGCCTCCATTTTCAGGATATAAGTGTGCAGGGAAAAGAGTCGATTTGGGAACTTAAGAATGTTATAAAAAATCGTCACTAAGACGCCACGAATCCAAGGGGTCACTTTTCCTGCCCAACGAATTCCTATCCTCCCGCCCTTCAAAAGGTCAGAAGACCAGAATACCAGCTACCACTGTTCTCCAAGACTGTAGGCCTATAGGAGGAAGAAAAAGTTGCCAACAACAAAGTCGCTAAGGAAATATTTAAAAAGTCTGAAACAATTTATACCTTCATCTAGCTGCGGAGATGGTTCTTCTGAATACGGCAATGGAACTTTGAGTCCATTAAAATGCTGGGAAATTCTTGACTAGCTGAGTAACTATTGGTTTCTCAAGATGGACTTAGCTTCAGATAGTTGTTTTTAATAAGAATGAGATACAAGTGGAAGGCTAACCATGAACTAAATTTCAATATAAAGGTGAAACCTCTATGTTTTATGAATTAAACACCACCCCATGAAGATCTATGGGGGAGTGGAGATATAGCACCTGAATTCATGGCCTCGACACTCAATGGAGGTGACTTGTTATCTTTACAACCCAGTCTCTTTTCCCGCGGTATCCATTAGATAAGGAGGCTGGGTGGGACCCAGATCCGAATTCGACGCTATGGTGTAGAGAAAATCTCTTGCTTCCTCCAGGAATCGAACCCCTGCCGTTTATATTGTCACTTAGTGACTTTAGACGGTCTTTGGACTGATGACTCCATTTATTGTCCACTTATATGTACACTAACGACTTGTGACTACATTTTACAGTTCATTGTTGTCTAAACACTTATGTCCCCACAGATTATTACAGTCTTCACTAGCCGTTTCCTATGCACGGATTTTAACACAGGAACTATCTCTCTGAATTACACACTCCATATATCACACATATATTCTGCTCTTCACAGCCGAACTGAACACTCTTGCAACTAACTGTAGGCAATTTCACACCTGCTTCCTAGTCTTCTCTTTACCGCTTGGTTATCAAATGATTAAGCTCTAAATCTCCCGGTTATAACATCTCGGCATGGACCCCATAGAAAACACAACTCTTGAGTTGTGTCTGGATTTGTTGCCTCATAGATGCTTCCAATGCTGTTGCGTAGCAACGGTCACCGCGCGGACCACAGAAAACACCGTTCCTCTGTTCCTGTGCCACTTTTGCGTTCGTGTTTGTTGCTGTGGGAATGTGTTTACTGAGGCGTTGCCTATAAACGGCTCTGGTATATTTGCTTATCTCGCGGTATTGCACAGTAGAGCCTCCACACGCTACAATATACATACATACATACATACTGTTTCTTTCCCAATGACTTGAGCCATATTTTTTATTCCTCTTAATTATGTTTGTTTCATTACTTTCTTTCGTTACTTACTTGGTTACTGAGCACGCTGGTTCAAGCGGCAACATCTCCTATTTGCATTCGTAAGGTAACTTGTTCGAAACCAGCCGGGACACCATTGGTCGCGACTGAGTAATGTGGAGGTGTTCGTTAGTTTCTCCAGACAAACGCTGGGACAGTGTCTCAAAGTAGGCCCCGAAAGCTTTGTTACACGGCTTCCAGAATCCTTTATCTTTTGCTAATTGTAAGCACTGAATTCTGAGCTGCTAACAGCTCCGTTAAATAGACTAAAAATGAAGAAAAAACAAACGAATTGTTTTGCCTCGTTTAGGTATGTGATTTTGTCTTTTGCTGTAGGGCAAGACCATAGACTGGGGGAATTAGGGGGACAAAAAACTGCTGAAGGAGATATTTAAACATAAGATCAATAATGTAACTATTCCTAGGAAGATGCAATGGGTCCCACATTTTCTAGACACTCGGCTCACAGATGGCGGTAAGGTTGTCAGCCCTAGGGGCCGGACCCCCTTTACCCTCAGGAATATTCCTGGTACTCATTTCTGTTAGAGGCTGAGTCTACCCCAGGGCCCCAGTGTAGCTGGAAGGATTAGGTAAATAGAAAAAATCCAATGATCACAGCGGGATTCGATCCCGCGACCTTCCGGCTTGTAGCATAGTGCCTCAACCAACTACGCTACCGCGTGCC